ACACCAGGTAGCCCACCTGAGTAAACACAAGATGGTGAAGATGAATGTCTGAAGGCTTTCTGTTAAAGGAACTATGACGATGAAAGAGGAAAAAGAGTATATAAGAATACAACTGAGTAACAGAGTAACTAAATTCTTGTATGTGTGTATATGTATGTATATATATATATGTGTATGTACACACATTGTATTCATTATTAGTTTACACTACTGCGTCTATAAATTACATAGTACTAAATCAGTATGTTAAATAAATATTTAATTCCTCAAAACGATTTGATTTCTCATCTGTCATCCTGTTTCTTTTTTCTCTTTTTTCTACAGGAGGAGCAGGAGACCAGCTACACAATCCTCCGTGCTCGAGGTTGTAATGTGACCCTGAATGGTTTGAAGCCCAACACTGCCTACTTACTTCAAATCAGAGCCCGTACCGCAGCAGGATATGGAGCCAGCAGCCCCACTTTCCAGTTCGAGACCAGCCCTGACTGTAAGCTCAGTAGAGATTAAAATGAAATGAAATTATATGATAGTCCATTAGCCTTTTACATACAATTTTTTATTTTGAATTGTGGGGTTATGAAACCTCTCTGGCAGGATGTGTGCATGTTAATTTTTTTTGTTAGAAGACCTTATGTCCAGTTGTGTAGCAGCTGTTTCAAACATGTTCGCTGACAAGAACAATTTTCTTTCCTTTCTTGCTGTTGGTGAAATTTAGATATTCATGCAGTAACTTTGGCAGAATTTCAGAAGTGAATTCAACCATCACATTTTTTATTGCAGCAAACATGCAAGTGCTTTGGGGAAAATGTGAAAATACTGCCCAAGATTTTTGCTTTACTTTGTGTCTGTTACACGCCTAAGTTGTTTCATTTAGCTGTTACTGTTCCATGGGATAAAAGCTGTGAAAGCACATTATTGTTTATATCAATTTTGCTGCCAAATATGTGTAAGTGTCTCTAGAGTGAGCTGAATCACCTTTACCTGCTCTTGTGGGAACTAAATACAATATCTTATTGAATCAAAGGTATATTTATTCTTGATGTGCATGCAGTACGTTGGAATAGGACTAGCAGGTAATTGAAGTTTGTATTGTGATGTGCTGTAATGTTAACAAAACAAAGTTAGCACTGCTTATTACTTGTTTCTTTCTGTCTTTCAGCAGCCTTCTCTATCTCAAGTGAAAGCAGCCAGGTTGTTTTGATTGCCATTTCTTCTGCCGTAGCCATCATCCTGCTCACTGTGCTTCTCTACGTCCTGATTAGCAGGTCTGTCCACCAATCACTTGCCTGGATTCTTGCCTTGAGCATTGTCTCCTTTAGTCACACCATCTGTACTCTCTCCTTTCAGTTGATTCTGTGTGCACTTTTCCAAAATGTACTTTCAAAAGCTTAGAAGAAACAAGTTAAATGATGTGCCATAAAAGAGGGCAAATTAAAAAACACCAGTTAATAACCAAAGGAACTTTTACCGCTGTGGTTTACAAGGTGTTTTAACCTTGTTGATGATTCCTTGTAATTGTAATGCTATCATTATTCATTAAATATTTGAGAACATGTTCTAAATTTGTTCAAAGAAGTTCTTTTTAGAACAGCTTCGTCAGCTTTCTCAAGAAGTACACATTCTGATAGCCTGTATGGTCCTTTAAAGTCCAGATCTATACACACTTCAGCTGAAGTTGCTCTTGGCTTAGTTGCCACTCAATCAAAAAACATGAGCATCTTCAATAAATGGAATCTTTTCAGTGCGTTCATGCACAACACGGGCGTTTGAATGCCAATGTGAGCACGGCTGAAGTTGGTGGTCAGCAGGTTTCAGGAAAGAGTATAAATCCACATCACATTATAAGACTTACTGATACTCTTTTGGGTTATAAGAGCCAGAAGTATATACACACAGACATAAGTATGCACACATGGATCTTGGTAGCGTTTGGGCTGGGCTTGTGGGCGAATTTTTATTGAAGATGTGGCACTACTTCTGGTCTTTCTCTGTTTGCATTGGCAGGTTTTGTTGCCGGAGCAAATCCAAACATCCTGATGAAAAAAGACTGCATTTTGGCAATGGACACTGTAAGTACTGGACTTTGTTTATCTGAGAATTGGCTCTGTCTCTCCTTGCCGTACTTTACTAGTCACTGAATACAGATAGAACTAGCTAGTTACATAAAAGATAATTTGAGGGATGTTATTTGAATATGCATGTCCTTCTGAGAACCTTTTGACCAATAGCGGTTGTTTTAGAGTAGATATGTCAAAGCTTGAAGTGGATTTCCCCTTTAAGTTTAGATATATCTTTGTTTTTTCATACGAGAAGACAATAATCAAACAAGACCATGTTATGACCATGTTTTTGGCCCATTTAGAAACAAGTACTTGAGGCTTCATTTAAAAGGAGAACAAAATAACACTGTTTTCCAAACCAGCCAAGTGAAGTGGCTAAATCTGCGCTTTAGTTTCTACTTTCCAAATAAAAAAGTTTCTTGATATTACTTCTACTATTAGAGTCAGTACTAAATAAATAGTAATTTAATTTTCTTTTCATGCTACTTCCTCATCCCTTTAATCCTTGTTTCTTCTCTCTTTCTGTCTTTACGAGATGTTATTTATTTGAAATAGTCCTACCTTTAAATTTGACCTAGGCTTCTAGAATTCCTCAGGGTACTGAAGAGCATCTGCCCACTGCTTCATGAGTAGTTTGGATGGGTCAAACCCAGAGCATAAATTTTAACACACAGGGACTACTAAAATACAGCTGTGTTACATATCTTCCCTTTGTTTTCAAGTTTATCATAAAATAAAACATATCTCTGAAACATAGTGTTTCTTAAACTTGATGTGTTATGAAGGGTATAATTCCTCTTTTTGTTATTGTTCCTCCATCAAATCTCAATAAGAGAGACTCTCTGGGGAAAGAGAAAAGAGGGAATTGTAAAAAAAACTCTTTCCATTAAAACAGCTAAAAGTGTCTTCATATCCATTTGATAAGTGACTGTTGCTTTAATGCATAATATATTAAGTGAGAAAATCTCAGCCCTGTCTGCTCCTTGAGGGAAATTCTTCCCTAAAATTCAATCATTGAAATACTCAGGACTATATCGTCTTCATGGTTTTGGTTTCATTGTGCAGGGTTAGTTGGATCTTTTGCCACCCTGTGTGTTTCCTAGACTCCTCTGAAAGTGCAATTTTACTGTAAGCTGTGCTATTTTGGAGTTTTTAACTAGTTGGTAACCAATGCAACTTTCCTGTGCTGCTGCAGTGCGTCTGCCAGGGATCAGAACCTATGTGGACCCCCACACATATGAGGACCCGAGCCAGGCTGTGCACGAATTTGCCAAGGAACTGGATGCCTCCTGCATTGCCATAGATAAAGTGGTGGGAGCAGGTGAGAATAGGCAAAGGAAAGTGTATGGCCAGATGCTGCTGCTTGTATAGATTCCATATAGGTTTGGCAACTTTGCAAAAAATTCATGTCATTTCTAATATTTTTAAAACAATAATCAAAATGAGCTTGGTGGGATACATAAAAAAAGGGAAATCAAAAAAGACTTTTCCCACTTTCGTATCAGTTACTTCCTTTTACTTTTGCACTCTTTCATGCTCTATTTAAATGACAAAGACAAACCAAGTGCACAACCACTTTAAGGAAAATGGAGTATATACAGAGCTCCTATACATCTATATTTTCATAGCAGTGAGCTAGTTATCTATGCGTCATGCTGCACAGCCGGGAATGAGAAAGCATTCTGTGCCCCAGCTTGATGTCTCTTCTTTCCAGCCCTCACCTAGGATGGAGGGAAAGGTGGTGAAATGAGAAAACCTTCAGTTGGTTCATGTCTCCTTTAACCCTTTCTTTCCTTCCTTTATTTTTCTTTCCATTTTCCATAGCGTATGCTCCAGTTCGTAACTCCCGATGTACAGTAATTGCAATAGTAATTGAAGCCTTGTCTCCTCTTTTCCTCTCCACTCATGTACTCCCTGATAACTTGAGCAGGAGTGCAGACGGGAGGGTAATGCATTATGATTCATGTCGAGTGCAGTCAGAATAGATGGAGACTAAAGCACACAGCACATAACAGCAGACTGGTCTCCAGAGTCCCACCGGCCCTTCACACTGTAAAACTGTCAGGACAGCCTGAGAGTCTATTACCTGAGTATACACTGGAGTCACACTCTGCAGTGCTAACCACAATATATTTTTCATACATAGTAGACACAAAGCACAATGATTTTCACAGGGCTGCAATGGTACATAGGAGATAACTGTTTATATATTAAAACCACATATAAAAAACAAAATCAGCTGTTCTCTTTTAATATAATAAAAAATGTGGTACACATTTGTCCACAGTTCACTGTGGCTGTCATTTTGATTTTACACAAGCATGAACTTCTTGAAATCTGCATGACCATTTGCAAGAAATGCACACAAACTAATGTCCATACTTCATTTAATATTATTAAATACATGCAATTTGATGTTTGAGGCATGAAAAGTGAAACAGCAGTGAAACATGATCTATCGAAAATGCAAATAGATGAAGAGTAGCTCCAATTTATCATCATTCTAAACCAGTATTAGCTGAGTAATACCTTAACCCATAGTCGATTTACAGCAGAAAAGTCTATACTGTACCATACATTTTTAATGTGTACAGTGCACAGCTGATTCAAAGTGTATTTATTTTAGTGTTCTTCCATAGTAACACAAAGAAGGGAGAGTGCAACTTTGAGAACAAGTTCTGGACAATATAAATAAAATGACAAGTTGACAGGGTGATTACTTTTGAAAAGCAACTTAGTAGTTCAGAGCAGTTTAATTTTAGAAAGATGGACAGAAAATCCCTGAAAGATTTTCAGATAAAAGCCAGAAACCTTATATGAGAAAACCATAAATTTACAGATCCAAATGTGAGATGAGAGGAGAAGAAAGGGGACTTTGGCCTGCTCTTGCTAATCTATTTTAACTTCATAAAATGTGAACCGAACACCAGAGGTGAACATTAAAGCTCCAGCCATGATGTAAACATTTTTGTCCGTCAGCTTCAATGCACCCTGCCACCCATCTGTGTGATTTTTATAAAGCCACATAAGCACTCTGAACAATATACAACATACCTTCTCTTTCTCCATTCCTGCCTCAACTCCATCTGTCTTCATTAAACACGTTAAAGGGACTTTGATCCTCTTGCCAATCGGTGATTGTGTGTTAAAAGACATGAAACACATGCTCCACTCTGCTTACATGGGTTAGACTTTAACATCAAAGTGAGATACCTAGCTCTACTCATAACAGGAAAGGAACGAGTGTCCCTAATCAAGCCTTATTAGACGAAGGTCTTCTTTCTCTGAGTGACCACATAAAAAGGTGCCTTGGCTTGACTTGCCTGTCCACTGCTCAGGACAAGAGGTGCAAAGCAGAGAAGGAAAGAACAGGGATGGTCTGGGTATTTAGACAGGTTATAATTATTCAGGCTTAAGTCCTTCCAGATGCCATTGCTTCAAGTCCAGGATTTGACCCATGCTCTCTGATCCAGAGCAGCTATGGGACATGATTGTACTGGATGAAGAGTGAGATCTGCATATCTTAGTTCTGACATCACCATTCTTGAGCACACTCAGCATGCATGTACGTTCTGTTCAAACACCTACTTACATTCAGTACACACACACACATATACACACACCCCTCATCTTCTGCAGTCCAGCCAAAACTCTGTCTCCAGGACTGCCTTTGAAGTGGCCAGCATACCTACAAAACTTACAGTACCTTCTGGATAGCTCCCCATTGCATGCACATACTTACAAGTAGTAACTGAAATTCATGCATCCCCTCACCAGCGAAGAATGCTAATTGAGCTCTCCCTGAGTGGATGTTAAGTAATTTTGTGTTTTAATTTGACATATAAATGAAGCTGAAAAGTTGTATTGCTGTCTATTCACTTTGTTATTTTGGCTATGGGTACACGCTATGCATTAATCAGGAAATGCTGTTTTTTGTCCAACATCAACCAAAGCATTTCCTGATTAATTGGAGTTAAGTTATTACAGATGGAAATTTTAAGATCCTTCATGATCTGCAGCTTTGTCTGAATGAATCACTGACAGGCAGCTGTAAAAACCACATATTGTAACACCTTAAAACGCATCTGAACCCCTGTTGTACATCAGAGCAGTCAGGATTTTCTAACTCATGCTATGCTAGATGCTGGGCTCTCAGTGGTGAAGCTGACCTAGCCGTAGGTTTAAGGAGTATCAGCATGCAACCTGTCTTTGTGGTTTTACTGCTGATCATGTACTCTGGTACAAGAGAGCTAGTTAAGTTAGCCATATTCACTCCAAAATGCTTTTCATGGCAATGTCATAGACATCATACATAAAACTTGCCTTTATTTTATCTTTAGGTGAATTTGGAGAAGTCTGCAGTGGTCGCCTGAAGTTGCCCAGCAAAAAGGAGATCTGCGTGGCCATCAAAACTCTCAAAGGTGGATATACAGACAAACAGAGGCGGGACTTCCTTTCTGAGGCATCAATCATGGGACAGTTTGACCACCCTAACATCATCAGGCTGGAGGGGGTGGTAACACGCAGTAAGTTCCACGACAAACTGAAGAGAATTGAATTACCCAGGTGCTATTTTGATAATTATATGTTACTCTGGTTCTTGGAGAATATTAATCTATGAAGCACTTACTTTTTCAGAAGCATGATGTTTCAGAGAACACAACAATTTTTAGTCACATTCCATAAGAGAGCAGGCTTCTCCTGAGAGTCTTTTTACCGATTCCGGATTTGCAGTTGTCTTTGACAAATGGCTCTAAAGTGGCCGACACTTCTGTGAAAGAGCAAAGGAGTTTTATTGAGTTGCCGTGGTGTAAATCTCTGCAGATCAATGTGCTCTGATCAAAGCCTGTGTCCAAAGCAGGCATAAATCCATAAATCCATATCTCTGACTAGCTTCCCTCTGGGCCTCTTTATAAGACTATCATTAGCACACAGAAGGCCTCTTTAAAATGGAATGACTGCAGAAAAGGGAAATAATGAGTCTGAACTTTGTCGCAAAGAAACAGTCCTGGCCTCTATATTTCCCTGCGGCACTTGGCTTGTTAAGTAGTTCTGCCAGTATTGTTATTCTAAAGAGTAGAATAAAATACCAAGTGAACTTGCCTTCTCTTTATTATTCTGGATTTTAGGTTTTTCTGTTCCGTCTCATTTGTTCTTTGCTTCCTCGTCTCCACCTTGTCTTACATCAACTTGTTTTACCTGCTTCCCTAACTTATCTTCTTAGCAACTTACTGCTGTGACTTGTAATCAAAAACAGCCCAGTCTTACAATGTAATGTAATTTCCAAACAGCAATGAACTGGGCATGTAAACCATATTGTTCTGATTATGCTTCATCTCTACAAAGAAAGAAGGAAAAAAAGAAAAAAGAAGGGAAGGAAAGGAGGGAGGGAAGGAATGAAGGATGGAAGGAAAGTAGAAAAAAGAAAGGAGGGATGGAACGCCAAAAGAAACAAAGGAAGCAAGGAAAGAATGATAGAAGGCAGGAAACAGGAGGGAAGGAAAGAAGCAAAAAAGAAGTTAAGAAAGGAACAAGAGAAGGAACAAAGGGAGAAAGAAAGTAATGACAGTAGAATCAAATAAATAAATAAACAAACAATAGAAAGGATGGAAGGAAGGGAGGAAGGATGGAAAAATTGAAAAACACAAAGAAATAACACAAAGGAAGCAGGGAGGAAGGAGGGATGAAGGACAAAACAATAGAAGGAAGACAGAACAACACCAGTTAATATCTTATAACATATCATTTTGAGTCAACAGTGGCACAAATTATGCTACTAAACTGTCACTTATGCAGTTTTTGTAGGAGAAACTTGTTAAACATGCTAATACGCATGTATTTGTAAAATAATGTCAGTAAATAAGGTCAAATAATAGAAAACAGTAACCAGAACAACAGAAGCTAATCATACTCCTTCATCCAGTTTTGTCTCTTTTAGAATAATTTTTCAGTTAGAACGTACGGCATGGTTCTGCACTGTACTGATGAATGAAATCAGTCCACTCTGAAAGTGAAAGTCTGTGTGTGTGTGTGCATGTGTGTGATCCCTCATCACACATTGTTTGCCTAATACATCTTAAACCAGTCTTCCTGTTAATGTCCGACCTGTGAGAAATGCTGCAATAACACAAGACTGCGGTTTCATTTGCTGGTTTGAGACTAATAGGGGAGGCCCCAAATTCACTACTTCGCACATGACATTTGGAGAGATGCCCTGAGCACATGTGCATAAGTAGGAGCAGCATGAGTGCAGGGCATAGTTTTAGGAGGTCCATTTGATATGCTCCCACACACAGACACACACCTACACACACACAAACACACACACAAATGCACGCTGCTGTCGGGTGATTTATTAAGCTGCTCCTGTTAATTCTTAATAATCCTGAGACTTTCACACCCCATTTACCTTGCTGCTGCTTTTGGCTGATCCACAGGCTGCATATTTGCAGGAGCACACACACACACACACACACGCGCACACATGCACACTTCTTGCTCAAGCTCATACATCCACACTTGCACGCATACAAGTACACTCACACTTGGGTCCGCAGAACAAAGGGGCTTGGGGGCCTTTATCTTTGTTGCCAATGTTGAAAGTAGAGAGAAAGAGGGGAAAGGAAGGGGCGGAGGACAGGAGGGAGGACCGGGTGCGTGCATGCCCGTCTGCAACTATAAAAGCAGTTCTCTGTTAAACTGAACAATCCATCACAGCCTTTTTGGGACAGGGTGTGGGTGGAGGGTCTTGTACTGGTCCTGTGACGGTGTTTAAATGATGAGAGATCTTTGCTCTAATTGTAAGTGAAATTGGTGCAACTTTCCTGAGACATGCTGTTCTGTGAGTTTAATCTCCTTTTTTAAAAAAAAAGCTATGTCTTACTGAGAAACTCCTTTTTTTTTTCCAGGTAAAAAGTTGGAAGAAACAATTGCTAGCATAAATTATCGTGTGCATACCTCATAACACAGTGAGAGTCAGTTTATTTTTATTTTGTCAACGTCACATTTTTAGCTACGCTTACTCTGGTAAGATGTAAATAAACAGAATCAGTGGAAATAGATTCAAAATCTTTCAGAGTCATTTCAAGCTGAAATTGACAACATCTGTTTTGTTTAAATGTGCTGTGATAAAGAAAATGAATTACCAGTGCAATGCAGATTCATGAAACAACCCTTTTCTTAAAATTTCCATTGAGTTTAATAGATTTGCTTCTTTTCACAACTAATTCCATCACCCTTTCCCTTCAGCCTGCGCGATTCCTGAAAAAAAGTCCCTTTCTTTCCAGATGTGGGGTTGGTTCACATTAATACATGCAAGAGGGATGGAGATGAGAGGGAGGGATGGGGTGATGGGGAAAGAGAGGCAGGTATGATAGAGAAAAGGTAGGTCAGGAATGAAAGAGGAGGGAGCAGGGCACATTAATCAGAATAAAAAATGGAAAAGAAGAATATGGCTGGTGGTAAGTCAAGAGTGAAGCTGAGAGAACAAAGCCATCTGGGGCACAAACAAGTCCT